TGTGTGCGAATTAGAGGGACGACACTCTTTTCCCACGTATCGCGGCCAGAAACGTGAGCAACGGCTTCAAAAAGAGGGAGCCAGATGAGAGAGAGAGAGAGGGTCATTGGCCTCCAAACCGGAGATTTTTAAGCTGTCATCCGCCGACCGGATGCGCGAGAAACACCGTTTACTATCGGTGGATATGTCGAGGACGCTCTTCTTCTGTTTAGTTAACACCTGCTTTAGCTACTTTGCTGGATGTTTTGGGAGTTTCTTGGCTTTCAAAGCGGTTAGGTTAGTAGGTTGCAGTGGGTACTTGAACGAAGTGCCGTTTTAGTCTCCAACTAGGTAAATCGAAGAAATCGAATACGGTATTCGAGTACTTATCGTGGAAGAACTTTTGTACAAGGATTGGATGAAATAATTATGTGTGTGTATTGTTGAAGTTGCATGGATTGCGATCTAGCATGAAGTAAAAAAATTTATTATAATAAGTTTCAACAAACTTGGCAAATATAATTATGAGAGCTGATTCTTGCTACACTGTTGATGAAATTTCAAACATTTTATATAATTAATAAATTTTTAAATACTTTTGTAACCACCTGTGTACATGTGCGTCTTACGTAAATTCTCATGTACAGTTTCCCATTAATACTTTGATTAATCTCGATCGAAATTCAACCATCCATTTCTATTACAAAATTAATCATTTAAGAAGATTCACAAAAATTCTCTATGATTTTGAAAGAGATGTCAACATCATTATTTTGATCGGTATAAATTCCAATCATTCGATCTTTGCTACAATATCTTCACAAGTCAATAACTCTATCAATATCTATCGATATATCTATATCTATATTTGTACGAACACCAAGAACACCTTACAATGCGTCAAAAGATTAAATCCCTCAGCTGAATCTTACGTAACGAGCTCGCAAAGGGTGGTATTTATACTTTCAACAGTGTTCTCGAGCGCATTACACTTTCAAATCGCATTTTACTTTTCACTCTACACTTAACCGCGAACCTTTGAACCGTTGATCTTTGGATTCAATTAATCGCCGAGACGCGGCACACTTGCCCCGGCGAAGCAAGTAACTTTTTTTTCCAAGCTCTCTCTCTCTCTTCTCTTTCTCCTCTCGGAGATCCGCGCGAGCGGCGACGACAGAAAGAGAAGAAGCCACTCTCGCAGCTTTCTACTCGCGTTCTCTTTGTTTCCAGCGAGCATTCTACCGGTAACGTGCGCTCGCGAAAAGGCTTCCTCGAGCCTTCGGTGGTAACAGAGATCCTTTGAAAAGCCGGGATCCGCTTTTCAAATCGGGCTGCATTCGAATGATCCCCGTGGTATTCGGCAAGCGACTCGCCCCGTTACTCTCCGTCACTTTTTGCGAATATTTGACGAATCTTCCTTGGCGAGTCGGAGTTCGCCTTCTCTCCGCGCGGACACGCGGCTGATTTCGAAGGATTTCGTGGCTACTCGAGGAAGCAGAATATTTCTTGGATGTCACGGTTTCCACGAGTCGTTGGCTTTATCAGGAAAAGTAGAAACGCTCGACAGCGAGATTCTACAAAATGTGCAGTGCAATAAATACCGCTTCTGTGTTAAGCGGTGCTTAATGAATTGGAGATGAACGCGGTCACTGTAGAAGTTTTCGGGTTTCAAAGGCACATCTTTATTTCACATTTCGAATGGGATAGTAATTAGGATAGTAAGAGAAGTGACAAGAATTCTATCGCGTGGGAATTTCTTAATCTCACAAGTGCAAACAGTATCTGAATGATTAATCTTTTACGATTAAAAAGACAAATACCAGAGGAAGAATTTAACGTTCTCTAATGTACAAGAATAGTATTATACTTTTACATTTCTGAAACTTTACCGTCCGTAGTCTCAAAATCCTCTAAACAATAATCCATCAAAATTCTCTCAGTCAACAATCAGTCATTTCTCATACAGGGCTAGAAATATAAACCTACAGAAACAAAGATAAGAAATGGCCCTTTCAAATTTCGAAGGCATTTTTTCACGGATACGAAACGTGAGAGGCAGTCTGCCTGAGAGGGTTTCGTAATGAGCAAGTGCAACACAAAAACTTTTCAGTCCCGAACGCGCGTCCGCGGCGAACAGAAGAACGAACGAGGAAACCGAGTCACGTTGCATCGGGAGCAACGACGATAAAGTGTCCAGCTTCGTGGGGACGAGGGGACAACGAGACAAGAAGAAGAACAGAGGAGGAAAACAGGTTTGGAGAAGAATAGTCGGCTCGTGTTGGCGAAGAATGACGCGAACAGAAGAGGAAACGGAAGAAGGAAGAGAAAAACTAAATAACCAACTCTTCTCTTTCCTTTCAACCCTCTTGTTTACGTCGCGACAATGGAGTAGACATTGCGATTTGATAAAAATCTGTCAGCTAGTAGTCGTCGATGGATAATGAAATTGAAGATGGTAAGGTTAACAATAAGGTTGCAACGACGACGTGTCGCATTAGCCAACCGGAACACAGTCGAGGAATCCCGCGTGTACATTTGCCAGCCGATTCCGTGCGCTGTAATCTGTCGCGAACGCGCAGGTTCGACGCTCGTGTATACGCGGTTCGCTCTCGGTTCGCCTCGACAAAAGGCCGCGAAATCAGAGGAGCGAGTGTAGCTTTTTTTTCCTTCGGTGCGTCGCGGTGCGTCATGCCATTACGACATATCAAACCTCGCGGGGAAGACAAAAAAGCCACGGACCGGTGGCGGCCCGCTGCTTGCCATTCAAACGTTCCTCCGCGTCTAAGGAGCAGCACAAAGGACGCTGGTGCCAGCGAGTGGAATTGGAAAATGACGAGGAGCGGAGGGACACGGGAACGGGTCTAAAGGGGTCGACGCGGGTAAACGGGAGGAGGAGGAGAAAGAGAGACAGACACGCTGGTTCGCAAAGAGGGCACGAAGGGGATAGGACGAGACCGCGACGTAAACGATGAACGAGAGAGGAGAAGAGGGCGAAAGAGTAAGTGAAAAGCTAGGAGAAAGACGAACAGCATGGATAAAGAGAGCGAGAGAGAGAGAGAGAGCGAGAGAGAGAGAGAGAAGGGGGAGGAACGGGCAGCTTGCTGGCAGAATGGCGCAACGGATGAAGGAAAGAGAGAAGCCGTGGAGCAAGAAGGGTACGGCATAAAGGGCCATTAGTTAATTAACTCCTAATTATCTGGCGGCGGAGAAGCGAGTGCATAATCGTCAAGCATTGCTGGTGTGCAGTGGCAGCGCGAAAAGGCAGACAGTGCTGTGCACGGATCGTTGCGCCCGGGCGCCAAACAATCGGCGGCTGCTGATTGCATAGGCTTGGAACATCCCCCCGGCTGCTTCTCTTTCCCTGCTTCTCTCTTCTCTTCTTTTTTTTCTTTTCTTTCTTTCTTTTTTTTTTTTTGTCTTTATTTCCTCTGGTAGACCATTCTCCACCCTAGTCCGCCCAGCCATCCCCCAAGCAAATCCTCTTTCCAGCTACCACTTTTCTTGCTGCGTCTTTCAAACTGTCGATCTGCCGCCTTCCCAGATTCCACCTCTTCCCTCCTCTCCACGCCGTGCAACCAGCAGGGCCAAGAAAGGCCCTGAAGAACTTTTCGTGGTAGCAACTCTCTGCTAGAGGTCCCTGTCTCACATGTAACAAGTAAATTCATCTAATTTTTAATTTTAACATGGATATTCTACTACATACTCTGTGTTCACGTGTATATTTAAATATACGCGTTAAACAGGAAGCTTCGTGTCTTTTCTCGGCAGCAACAAAGAAATTTTGATCCTGAATTAAGGTAGAATTTCTCATAAATTAGCGCAACAAAATTTCCGTATGATAAAGACTATGTTAAAACGATTGTAATGTAACGCTAAGGACACGTACAATTATAAAAGTGCAGTGTACTAAGAATACGGGTCCTTGATTCCTTGATGTACACGTTTCACGAGTACACACACGTGTCGCACAGTACACGTACGAAATTTCTAACAGTGTCGCCTCACAAAGAGAGATCGCGTCTTTTTCAACTTTATCAGCTCAATAACAAGGTAGCTTCTCCTCTTTCTCATCAACCGGCGGGATCGACACGCTTTTCGATTAATCAACCGCGTCTCGGCGCGATGACGCGCAACAAAAGCGCTCGACCGAATCGAGTCAGCGCTCTTCGTCTGCGTCGTCGGTTCCACACCCTTTCTCGCGATTACTCGCGCGACGTCGCGCGTGCTCGCCCGCACGTGGGAATTCGCCGCGGAACAACGCGGACATTTTGTAAAGCGGCTGGCGCGTTTTGTTCACCGCGAAGGCCCGCAGGATGCCTCGGGTTCGCGCCTTCGCTGAATGAAACGCGTTCACGCGATCCTCTCCGCTGGGGAGTCGCCCATTCAATTTTATAATTACGAAATTGCTAATGGAGCAGAGCCGGCGACGACGGAGCTCGCGACGACACAGGTCCCGCCTGGGGACACTTCTCCTGTGTGTCGCGATCGGATCTTCGGGTGAAGTGTGCTGCTTATTGTCCGCTCCGATCGATCGTGCGACTCTCCGTCAGGTTCCTTCGTGCTTTCGCTTTTCAATCTCAATAAGCGGAATCTTCTTCATTCGCGGGAGAGAAAGATTATTACTCAATCGCAATTTATGCAAAGCTTGGGAAATAACGATTGTTTTGAACGATTAGTTAGTCCGTAGTTTTGTGTATTGATAAAACGCGAGTGTGTAACTTTTAAGTTACATAATGTTAACAATTTAGGATTGCGTAGAGTTTCCCATTTGTTGGTTCTTAGGTAATTTAAATAATTCCTGGAAATTGATAGAAAAGGAATTTTGGATGATAGAATCGTTTGGTTTCGCTTCTAGTCACAGCGATTTGTGCAACGTTTGAATAACAGCCAATTTGATGTACAGTAGCTTTAAAAATTATCTGGAACCTTGCGGCAGCCTTAAAACTCAATCGAAACCCTGAATTTCTTTTAGAAGCCATTCGACGTGCCGCTTCTATTTAGTTAGGTTGAAGAATTGCGAAATAACGGAATAATACGATGTCAAACTTAACAATAGTACAAAATGCGACGGTGAATATCGCGTAATCCGTCCGCGGTTTTGGTATTACGTAACAAAGGAAAAGTGGATTCGGTGGTAAGCGACAATTCCGCGACGCGTGGTGTGATAATCGTTATCTGATCCTGCTGTTTGTTATTATGTAATCCTCGGCGTTTGCCAACGATCACCACCGTTTCTCATTCGGTTTACTTGGCCACGGGGTTTGATCAAAGTTCGCTCGGGCTTCTTTATTGGGAATGCAGCCGTACATGGCTTTAGCCAAGTGGATTGAGGCCACGCGAATAAGTCCGTGATCGAACGTAATAATTTCCCTGTTTCCATTTCACCCGGTGAATCACTCACCGATCGGTGACATCGAAGGCGGACAATCGACTTATACGGCACGATACGTGAATACGAAATTAAGCTTCGTCTGGTGGATGCCGGGTCTAACTAACAATAACGAATCCACGATAATTAATATAACTGGTGTCTTTAAGAAAAATACATATGTATACATATTTGTAGATATATGTAGATAGACATTTTTCGCACTTGGAAAAATGTTTAAAGCAATATGCTATGTTGTACTAAGGTGAAACGTACGAGCATATACGTAATTTTTCCTGTCTTGTTATAGCCGAAAGGAAGACCTCGTTAGGAAAGGACTGGCACGGTTCCTGTTTACGATGCGAGAAATGTAACAAAACCTTGACACCTGGTAGCCATTCGGAACACGAGGGCAAACCTTACTGTAATCATCCGTGTTACTCTGCTCTGTTTGGCCCCGGAGGTAAGTGACGAGCGAACATTTTCGAGGAAGGAAACTCACAGGTGTTTACTCAGGGTTATCAGCAGAAGATTTGTTCTATTTATTTATTGGATTTATTTCGCTTTGGTTCTCGTGAATTCTATCCTGTTTTGATCCTGTTTGTAACACGAATAATATACACTTCTAATCACAAGCATTGAAACACTTATTCGTTTTATTGATTAATCGAAATTTTATTTCACTTGATAATTTTGGATTTTGTACATTTTATTCACATCTACTACTGCAGTATTTTAATGTTATTAAAGTATCTTTTAATGTTATTATCCAATCTTTATTATTCTGTACCTATATTATATCTTAACTTAATCAGATAGCTTCTAGACAGTTATAGACTTAGCTATAGCTCTTCAGAGAGCTATAGACTTCTTTTAGTAGAATTTGCATTTCAGTAATTTCGAATTCGATAGATAATAATTTCAGTCTAATTAGAAATGATACGTCCTAATTATAACAATTTTTTGTTAGCGTGTTTCAAAAATTTCGATTAAATCGAAGTTTTTGTTTTTTAGTTCTCTTTTTTTTAACTCTTTAGGAATTTAGATGGACTCTTTTTGAAACATTTATTCTTGCGCATTGCAGGTTTCGGTCGAGGCGGTGCCGAGAGTTACATTTACAAAAAGTGAAAAACCCTGGGGACTTCGTGCCGATTTAATACTTATTGTTAATCCAACCGCGTTACCTGTACTGTAGGAAGTAAATTTAATTGATAATAGGCATCTAAGTTTGTCTAAGCGTGTAATGTTTTTTGCAGGAATTGTGAAACGTATGATTGCAAGATATGGAATACTTGGGATAATTAATTTTTTATAAGGTTGTATGTTGTATCATGTATCTGTTTACTAGTTATGAAGTTGAATAAAAATTTAACAATACCAGTTTAAATTTTCGCTGTTGTTTTCGCTGTTATTTTCTACAAGAGGTAAGAGAGATATCTGTATCACCGTTTGGTGATCTGTCACAGGCACTGATATACCTTGTCTGTGTTTCTGGCGCATTCACTACTTGACCAACTTTGATCGTTTTACTTGATGTAGTTCCTCAACTTACCGTTATTTTAATGTAGAGTGCGCTAAAAAATCAATGATTTTTTTTATGGTACTTCAGGTATGTCGGTATTTCAGGTCACATATTTCAGGCCACGAAACTCAGTAAGGTGCTTGGTCTATTCATATATCTCGTCTGTGCTGATGCAGTGCATTCAAAAAATGAACGAATATGTAGGCAACTCGTGTATCAACGCTCAAAATTTTTTGTTTCTTTAGGTATGAATTATTTTTTAATATTCTAAAATTATTTCATTAATTTTCTCAATCATAATACGATATACATTAAAATTTATAGAACATTTGTGCTTCTGGTCATTACGTATAAAATCATTATACGGATATTTACGCAATCTTACATTTTTATTGACAAAAATTATATTTTTACCGAATAAATTAGAAAAAAATCGATTTAAAAAACACAAGAATTTCTTGGTATTTTATATATTTTTATACTTTACACGCATTCTACAAATTTTTAGAGTCTTAAATTTCCCAAAGTTGCATAAAAATCTGCGGTTTATTTACAAAAGTTATCATTCACTGCACTTAAATTATTTGATATGCATTGTAATTGAGTGAAAGTTCCTTTACTCGCTAAAAGACAACACCAGACGAATTTCATATAAACCTCATATTTATTTAAAAAGGATGTACATAGTTTTGTTTGCAAGTATCAACAGCGAGACTCGGCAAGAGCGGCGCACGGAACAAGATTATCACACGGGACGAAATGACAGCGAAATGAAAGGAAAAAAAAGAAGAATAAAATAGAATAAAGAAAAGACGATAGAACTGTTCGTTACTCGGATGAAAAGTCCACGGGGCGCAACATCCATAGCTGAAGTCTCGATTTCACAAGTATTTCGCTCTACTGAGGATATACCTCATTCGTTTGAATACTGCGCGGAAAAAAGTGATTCTTCTCGTGACGCATCAATTTTCTTTTCCCTTCTTTTCTCTTTTTTTCTTTTCTGCTCTTCTATTTACGATTCGACGTTAATACATCGCGTGCTTTCCTCTTTTTGTATTTTTCGATTCTTTCTTTCTTATTTTTTGTTTTTTTTTTTTTCTTTTTTTTCCCCTAAAACGCTTCCATTTGATGGAAGCTAATCTCTCGAAACATTACCATGATATAGCTCTCTCCATTTCTCTCTTTTTTCCCCTCTCTCTCTTTCTCTCTCTCTCTC